AAAAGCCAGAAGTACCACTGTGGCTCAAGTGGTAGAGCACTAACCTTGAGCTGAAGAGCTGAGGGACAATGCCCAGGCCCAGAGTTCAAGCCCCACGACCAGACCCCCCCCCCAAAAAATATATATATATATCAGCAACTATGAAAACATATGTTTGGCTGTACCCAAAGCAAAATACAAGTAAAAATAACATTTGAACATTTGAACATGGTTATTTTTTAACTTATACCAAAAACATGTTTTAAAATACCAAGTTTAACAAAATAATTTAGCAAAAATAAATTCAGAAATCCACAACACTGGAGTTCTTTTTCTTTTTTAATTGACAATTTTTTTTAAATTAAAATTAAAGCAAATATGATTGTTACAAACAAATGGAAAGTAAAAAAAAAAAGCAATCAGTTCTCAAGTCTTATCAAATACAAAAGGCAATAAACAGCCAACTATAAAATTAAAATTTGTAGTACTTGAGAGGCAGAGATGGCAGGCTCCTGGTTGAGAACAGCCCAGACCAAAAAAAAAAAGTTAGATTTTTATTTCAAAGAACTAGCCAGGAATGTCTTGTTCACACCTGTCACCCTAGCTAAACAGGAATCAGGTAGGAAGATTATGTGCCTGTGTCCAGCCCAGTCAAAAAGTGGGAGACTCTATCTGAAAAATAACTAAATCAAAAGGGTCTGGAGGTGACTCAAGAGGAAGAGCATCTGTATAGCAAGCATACATAGTTTCAAGTTCAATCTCCAGTATTGCCAAAAAATAAGAAAAATTAAAATCTGTGAAGTATCAGCATCACAAAACAATCATTTGCAGGGTTTTATGTTCTATAGTCATATGACCGATATATCACCAGTGCCTTGCAAGACCCTATCTCTTCTATTCCCTCAAATAATATTAAAACTCTCACCCTTGCTAGACGACTTCAGCTTCATTAATGCTTAAGGAAATTCCAGTCCCATTTATATTAGCAAGGTCCTGCCTGTTCTCAGTCCTTCCCAAATCCAGCTAGTCTGGCTTACCAAGCATAGCCACTAGCTATAATAGTAGAAATACATTCTTATATTCACTAGTCATTAAGTAAACATACCTACTTACGCAGGAAACCTTGACATTTAGACCATTTCCTTTTTTTTTTTTTTGTAATTTGAGAATAAACCAAACTCCCAAACCAGTTTTTTAGCCCCTCTGTGAGAACCCCTACATGCTCTCAGTTTAGTTATTTTGCAATGCCACTGGTCTCATAATGCTTTTTCCAAAAATTTCACCTGGGAGGGACCCATGAAGACACCTTCAAATTCAAGGAACTTCTAGCCCCTGGATATTAGTGTGAACACTAAGGGGAAAGATACTCTTTCAGAAAAATCCAGATCAGACTAAAATAGTGTCTTTCTCTTCCCTCAAAACAGAGAGGGACTGGGAATGTTGCTCAGTGGTAGAGTGCTTGCCTAGTGCGCATGAAGCTCCAGGTTTGATTCTTCAGTACTACATATACATAGAAAGCTTGAAGTGGCCCTGTGGCACAAGTAGTAGTGCTAGCCTTGAGCAAAAGAAGCTCAGGGACAGGGCTGCAGAAACATTCTAAGACCTTCTTTAGAAGCTCTGAAAATGACTTGCCGTCCATTTCCTTCCACAACCGAAGATTCTTACTTTGGGGGTTTTGTTTGTTGCTGTTTTTAGAGAAAGGGTCTATCCATATAGCCTAAGCTAACCTAGACCTTTCAAAGCTCTAGCCAACATGTCCCAAGTGCTGGGTTTATAAGCATAGGTTACCATGCCTGGCCTGATTCTAGAATAGAAATATCTGCTCAATAGACTAGTTTCTGTACCATTCTTCCTTGTCAAACACTAGCAAGACCTGACATACTAAGTTCTTCAAAGGACCCTAGCAAGTTACCTTTCCACTTAAAAATATCCTGTTGCAGAACTTCCTCTGATAAGCCACTGGATTTCTGGATGTACATTTATGTGCTCTTGTTCCAGATTTTAGTTTAGACTCTTATCTATTATTTTTTTGGTGCCCATCCTGGGGCTTGAACGCAGGGCCTAGGCTAGTCCCTGAGCTTTTAACTCAAGGCTAAAGCTCTGCCACTTGAGCCACAGCTGCACTTGGGACTCTTCAGTGGTTAAATGGAGTCTTAGACTTTCCTGGCTAGGCTCACTTTGAAATACAATCCTCAGATCTCAACCTCCTGAGTACCTAGCCAGTGCCTGGCTGACGTTATTCAATTTTAAACACCCTTGCATAAATGATTAACTATTTTGTTCATTCACTCACTCATTCATTCACAACAGAAGTGAGGGCTGTACCCTAGGCCTTGTACATGGTACCTTGTACCACTTGATCTATAACCTCAAGTACTATATATTTTTCTTTTTTTGGAGGAGAGGCTGATACTGGGCATTAATCTCAGAGGGACCTGCCCCCTGCTAGGCAAGCACTCTACCACCACAATCCTTATTGATTTCCTTTTTTAGATAGAGCCTTGTTACTTTTACCTGGGCTGGCTTTGAGTCAGTGATCCTTCAGCCTCCTCCCAAAAAGGCATGATTACAAGGACATGCCTGGCAGAAAATTCTCTGCATTTCATTTCCAAGTGTTTTGTTGTTGTTGTTTTTATTGCAGCATTTCAGGGGGGAGGAGGGGGAACACTTGCTATAGAGATCAATATCGGGACTTATTTTTTGCTGGTCCTGGAGCTTGAACTCAGGGCCTGGGAACTGTCCTTGAGCCTCTTTGTGCTCAAGGCTAGCGCTCTACCACTTGAGCCACAGCACCACTTTGGCTTTTTCTGTTTATATGGTGCTGAAGAATTGAACCCAGGGCCTCATGCATGCTAGGCAAGCACTCTACCACTGATCCACATTCCCAGCCCCTATTTTAATTTTTTTTTAAGTTAGGCAAAACTACCATGGACCTGACTCCCTACTGATGAGAATACAAATGATACAGATGATAGCATTCCAGGAGAATAATGACTTTGATGTTCAAATATGAACATACACAATGTTATATATTGGCTTTTCTGATGAAGTGGTGCATGCCTGTAGTGAAGTGGTAAAACACTCAAAGAGACTGAGGCAGAAGGATCAGAAGAGCTAGGCCAACATGGACTACATACCAAGACCCTGTCACACACACAAAATTCCCTCATTCACACACCCACACCTGCACCTTGACACACTTCTAGTAACAGAAAAGGCTTTTCATTCCATCATTATTTATAAATCTTAAAAATGCTACAGCATGACAAATATATTATCAACTCAAACCCAGATTGGGAGGCTGGACTGATTTCACAAAGTCTCTTTAGTATCATGTGACATATCCCTAGAATCAACTTATTAAGCTGACAATAAAGTTGTGCATTTGCCTAGTATTTTAATGTTGGCATTTAATTTTGACCAAATATGAAACGTTTTCTTTTCTAAGATCTTAAAACTGGCTTCCTTCCTAGAAAAATGGGTGAAAAAGTACAGCAATAGAGAGCACTGGACACTGATGAAAGTGAATAACTCAAAGGTGGAGATGGAAGGAGGGAATGGGAGAGAATGAGAGAAATGTACAAGAGAAAATATACTTATTAACTGACACATGTAAATGTAACCCCTCTGTACATCACCTTTATAATAATATTTTTGTTTCTTAAACTTTTCTACTTAGTTGACCTTTTCAACAAAAGCTTTTCTCTATTTTGATATTCCAAATGTTGTTTAGGATAATCATGATCCTTGCCAAATAACTGATTTAGTTACAATTGTTGAAACATCTGCTAGATCTCTAAGCCGCATGCCACAGATCATGCATATTGGATAGAACAGCTTGGATTATGAGTCTTTATAAAAAAAACCCTGAGACAGGGGCTGGGAAGGTGGCTCAGTGGTAGAGCGCTTGCCTGGCATGCATGAGGCCCTGGGTTCGATTCCTCAGCACCACATAAGCAAAAAGGAAAAAGCCGGAAGTGGCACTGTGGCTCAAGTGGTAGAGCGCTAGCCTTGAGCTGAAGAGCTGATGGACAGCGCCTAGGCCCAGAGTTAAGGCCCCATGACCGGACCCAAAAAAAAAAAAAAACCCTGAGACATAGTTTTCATTGTTAAGAGAATTTTTCTATCCTTTGTCGTGCTAATGTATGGAGAACATTGCAATTCGTCACCACTAACCTTCTCAAAAATGTTGACAGGTCTATGCTGACATGGTTCTTCTATATCACATTGTGCCTTCAAAACTGTAGCAATGGACCATTATATTTGCTCATTACAAGTATTAATAAAATATAAAAAGGGATTGAATAACTAAACAAGAACACAAAGTTCAAAACCATCACAAAACAATTCACTTCTAATTTACACAAGCCATTTTTGCAATGTTTATAATAGAAGTGGCAGGCTATTGCTGAGTTGTAGCACACTGAAAAAAGAAATTGCCTTAAAATCAAACTTTCCTTCTAGTTTTCTACTTCTCAGTAACTGTTCACTCCTGTAAGTCAGTTGGCAGGAAGAAAAAAAGAGGGGAAGTAATCAGCACATCATCCTTCTGCCACACATTCCAGTGTGATAGATAACATATGTACCAAACAGGTTTGTAAGAGCTCTGAGGAAACTACTAAGCTAACAGGGCTGAGTTAACAGGGATCAGTACTGCTAAGATCAACACTATGAAGCACACAAAAGTCAGACTATTTTATGCCAGAATTTTACATGAAACCCCAGTGCAATCTCATAGAATTCCAGCTGAGAGTCTCCAATACAAAATGAAGTCTATGAAACGTCATTATCATTTGACTTGGATTCATCTGTGATTTGACTTGCAGTCTCAGGTTTACCCCCTTCTTCCTTCACTAGTACCTCTATCTCAGACCTTGGTTTTGGCTGACCTTGCTCTTCACAATCCTCTGATACCACCTGTTTCTTCCCATTTCCTTCTGCTGCATCATTTTGATTTAATTTGCTGCCAGGCTGCAATTTTACTTCTTTCCCATTTCCCAGCTTTGGATGACACTGTGATGGGTCTTTAGCACTCTTCACCACCTCCTGAAGATTGTATTTTCTGAACAGCATGTAATCCTTCACAACACTCAAGCAACAGACAGCTTTGATAATTTCTACTACCACCGTGTACTGTGGATTGGTGAGATCTACTTTATTTTCTGAATTGAGGCTGGCCACTATTCCTGTAACAAGAATAAGAAAACACTTAGGTTGAGAAGGATATTATTACACTTTATGAATAAAACAAGTTTTTCATCTCCTTCTGTTGGGATTTGTTAAAACAGGATATATATGAATTTACATCAAAATCCCCAAGTCCATTCAATAAGTAAACACAAGTGAGATCCTGCCATGTTTAAAAAGAATAGAGTTGGCCTCTCATTATCAATGGACCCTGCAACCCACAGGTTCAACCTTGGATTAAAATAATCAGAAAAGTCAGCAGGAAGGAGAGGACCAAACACGCAAGAAAGCAAATAGGGTCAAAATACTTAATATGCATGTATGAAAACAGAACAATAAAATCTGTTTAAATTGTTTTAAGGAGTAAAGAAGATAAGGAAGTACAAGTGAGGGGCAAGTTCAATCAGGGTACATTATATTTATGTATGAAAATGTCACAGTGAAACTAAAGTATGCAAATTTAAAAAAATATTAGTGGGGCTGGGAAGGTGGCTCAGTGGTAGAGTGCTTGCCTAGCATGCATGAGGCCCTAGGTTTGATTCCTCAGCACCACATAAGCAGAAAAAGGCAGAAGTGGTGCTGTGGCTCAAGTGATAGAGCTGAAGAGCTGAGGAATAGCACCCAGGCCCAGAGTTCAGGCCCCATGACCGACCCCCCGCAAAAAAATCAGTGAAGCCTATTGAAATTGCTTTGAGAAAGAGGTTAGGTTGGGAGGGATGGGGGAGAATGATGAAAGGGGTGATAGCGATCAAGACATTCATTCTATATTTATAAACAGATTTGTTGCATGGTAACCCTTTTGTACAAATAAAGATAACAACAATATAATTTAAAAGAATACAAGGAACTAGTGCTGAGAATGTAAAGGAAAAAGGAGCCCTTAAACACTGTTGGTAAAGATGTAAATTACTGTAATCTTTCTGAAGATTAGTGTGGAAGTTCATTAAAAAAAAAAACAAAAACTGCTGGGCACCGGTGGCTCATGCCTGTTATCCTAGCTACCCAGGAGGCTGATACCTGAGGACCACAGTTCAAAACCAGCCTGGACAGGAAAGTCAGTGAGACTCTTATCTCCAATTAACCACCAGAAAACTGGAAGTGGCACTGTGGCTCAAATGGTTGAGTGCTCCCTGGCCCAGGCCCAGAGTTCAAGCCCCATGATCAACCAAAAAACAAAACAAAACAAAACAAAAAACCCTGAAAGAAATACCTTGTGGTCCTACAACACCATATAAGTAAAAAACAATGGATATTCCTGCCTGTATATTCCTGTTTATTGCAACACTACTAACAACAGCCAAGTTATGGAATCAGCCAAGATGACATCAGCACAGGAGTGGATGAAGAAAATGTGGTATATATTCACAAGCATTTTATTCAGCCATACAAAGAATGAATTTATGTCATGCAGCAAAATGCATGGAACAGTGACAATAAGGTTAAGCAAAACAAGTCAGACAAGTATAATGTGTTTTCTCTCACATGCATAATCTAGGTCAAAAGAAACTGAAGAAGACGGTGAGGAAGAAAAAGAAAAAGGGCTGGAAGAGAATGGAGTGGGGGTAATGTAACAGAGGGAGATGAGTGGGAGGTGAATATGACCCAAAAATACTGTAAACACACATGTGAAAAGGTCACAATGAAATCTATTTTAAGCTAGGTGCTGATAGTTCACAACTGTAATTCTAGCTACTCAGAAGGCTGAGATATGAGGATTGCAGTTCAAAGCCTGCCTGGGCAGGAAAGCCCTTGAGACTCTTTATCTCCAATTAACCACCAAAAAACTAGAAGTGGTGCTATAACTTAAAAAGCAGTAGAGTGCTAGCCTTGAGGAAAAGAGCTCAGGGTCAGCACTCAGGCCCTATGTACAAGCCCTGCAACTAACAAAACAACAACAACAAAAAAGAAACCTGTTTAAAAAAAGAAAACAGCAAGTTCACAGAAGGATGTGCAAGTAAGTTAGATGCAGTTGTACAACATTTTACATAAGGGACCTGAGATTCTGGTATTTGTAAGGGATCTTAGAACAATCTACTACCTATCATGAGTATAGAGACAACTATATTTGGAAATAAATTCCCAAAGAAAATTCAATCTCTATTTGGGGGAAAGAAAGTTAACAACCAGCAAACCTCATATTCAACAAACTGAAATCAATTGTTTGATATTTTAATGTATTTGTTCTACATAGAAGAATACAAGTCTTAATTCTTGACCAAAAAAAAAAAAAAAAACCTTAAAAATAAGTGCTAGATTGGGAATGTGGCTTAGTGGTAGAGTGCTTGCCTAGCATGCATAAAGCCCTGGGTTCGATTCCTCAGGACCACATACACAGAAAAAGCCAGAAGTACCACTGTGGCTCAAGTGGTAGAGTGCTACCCTTGAGCAAAAGAAACTCAGGGACAGTGCCCAGGCCTTGAGTTCAAGCCCCAGGACTGACAAAACAAAACCAAAACCAAACACAAGTGCTAATCATAGTACACCTGTGTAAAATCACTGTAAGAGACATACCTGCCAATTCTTTGATAACTTCTTCTCTATTCATGTGACCATTGTTTCTGGACTTGTATACAATTTGAAATGTCCCTTTATTTGGAGCTTTAAACCAGGGTTCCAAAAATGTTTCTGCGTATTTTTTCATATCTTCTAAGAAAGCTTTGCAGGTGCCTGAAATTGGTAACATTCGTAGAATAACTCGAGTCTTCTTTTTCTTGGTTTTATACATATCCTCGAGAATATGATGTACCAGTTTCTCTGGCTCTGAAAGGCAAAAAAAATCAACACAAACAATTTTCTTCCAACTGTTTTTTCAGTGCCTATTTTGTTTGATGTTTATCTTTTTTCACTATTCATGCCTTTGTTTAAAACAACTGTTCCAGAAGTTACCAAAGTTAATCTTTTTTTCTTATATCTTGATTTATCCAACCACTACAGTCTTCCTGTAACAGTAGCAATTATCAGAGTAACAAACATTAAAAAGTACTTACTTCACCCAGCGCCAGTGGCTCACGCCTATAATTCTAGCTACTTAAGAGGCTGAGATCTGAGAATCACAGTTCAAAGCCAGCCTGGGCAGGAAAGTCTGTGAGACTCTTATCTCCAATTAACCACTCAGAAAATCCAAAATGGCACTGTGGCTCAAATGGTAGAGTGTTAGCCTTGAGCTGAAGAGCTGAGGGACAGTGCCCAGGCTCAGAGTTCAAGACCCACAACCAAAAAAAAAAGACTGTTTAATGGTAATCAGTGTTTTTTAAGATTATTAGTTGACCACATTTTAAAACCCAAAGAACTTCTCTAGAATTCCAGTGTTTTGAAAAACCAGAAGATCCAGCCCTATGTTCCCACAAATGGCAACTACTGGCTGGAACTGACCAGCAGCGCTTCTTTCCAGCAGAATATGCATTCTCATTCTGCCAGAAATTACACACAAATAAGTGGCAGAGCCAGGTTTCCACTCTCAATGTAATGCTATGTGCACTACTCCATTCCACCTCTCCTAAGTACCCACTGTTAATAAAGTTACAATCAAATGATTAATAAGGCCATGCCCAGGAAGCCATTTGTACAAAGTGTTCGTTCTCTGAAATAGGGAGATGGCTATGTATTAGGACATTAATAATCTTAAAAGTTTAAGTTAGACATACCTATCCCAAGTGTCCTGATGAAGACTACATTATTTGCTCCACTCTCCACTGACTGGAATCTTCTTAGCCTCATCTCTGTAGAAGCCTTTATATCTCCAACTTCTTTCTTCAAGGCAGACTCCACATCATCATCATCATCATCATCTTCCTCACTTCCAGAGGGCTGCTGATCCTTTTCTACAAACTGTTTACATAAAACTAATAAATAGCGGTAACACAATAACTCAAGCCCAGACATTATAATTAACTACTCATGTGAAACTACCATTGGCAGACAGACACCACTAAAAACTGATAATAAACTTCTTGAAGACTGAGACTACACTGCATCCAAAATGTAGAGGAAGAAATTAATTCCTGGGGGCTGGGAAGGTAGCTCAGCGGTAGAGTGCATGCCTTGCAAGCATGAGGCCCTGGGTTCGATTCCTCAGCACCACATAAACAGAAAAAGCCGGAAGTGGCGCTGTGGCTCCAGTGGTAGAGCGCTAGCCTTGAGCTGAAGAGCTGAGGGACAGCACCCAGAACCAGACTGGCAAAAAAAAAAAAAAGAAATTAATTCCTTTAGACTGTGGTAAATATCATTGGAAATGTTTTCAGTAAGCCAAGCACCAGTGGCTCATACCTGCTACTCAAGAGGCTGAAATCTGATTATTTCTGTCCAAGTGAGCTTGGATAGAAAAGTCCTAGACTCCTACTAACCAGAAAAAAGCTGGAAGTGGGGCTACAGCTCAAGTGTTACAACACTAGCCCTGAGTGAAAAGGCAAAGGAACAGCACCCAGGTCTTGAGTTCAAGCCCCAGGACAAACAATTCTCCCATTCCCCCTCTCCCCACCTCCTTGCCCTTGCAGAAGTCAAGTGCTGATTGTTCACATCTGTAGTCTTAGCTACTCAGAAGGCTGAAACCTCGAGTATCACGATTCAAAGCCAGTCCAGGCAGAAAAGTCTAGAAGACTCCATCTCCACTTAAACAGAAAAAGTTGGACTAGAGGCATGGTTCAGTTGATAGAACACCATGAACAAACAAGCAAGTGACCATGATATCCTGAAGACCTGGTACTATCCCCCTCACAAACATTTGTCAATCCACAAACCCATCTCAATGTCTGGATATAACAGCATGCATGTATCATTTAGTTTCATGGGACGTATAAATATGCAGATAGAAATCCAGGCATATGAACAAGCAGGAAGCAATACACATTGTCAAAATAATGAGTGCAAAAGAGGACTGCATGTGGTACAGAGGTAGAATGCTCAACTATCAAGCACAACACCCTTAGTTCAAATCCCCGTACTGCCCAGTGCAAATTGTTTTCAAAAACATTTTGACAGACTGGCACGTTGAAAAATGTGTTCCCCAGATGAAGCACATGAGGGTTGACTGTAAGATCATCATATCTTTGTACCTGATATTTTCCTTTTGGTGGGATTAGAAGCAAACACTTAATGTAATTAAAAACTCTTACCCTATATTCAATGCATATAAAATGAAACTAGGAAAATTAAGGGAAGGGGTGGGGTTGGGAAGGAGGAGAATGATGAAAACTATGTATATAGTTTATGTATATGATGATAACTATGTAGTATAAAGTGACATGTTGAAAGTTAACCCCTTTGTACAACTATTTAATTAAAAAAAAACAAACCTCATTACTGTTCTACAGAGGAAGAGATCACAGAAGGATTCAAGAACTTGCTTGAACAGAATATGGTGGCACATACCTGTAATCCCAGCACTAGGGAGGCACAATCAGGAGGTCAGCCTGGGTTACAGAGCAAGGCCTTGCTCAAAGCCAAGTGAGATCTGGCTCAGGTATCAGTATAGACAGAACATACACCCATTGACCAGTTCTCTGACCTACTTATGGCATTTCCAATGCGGTACTAATCATCATCGCACATTTTAGGAGCCTTTTTACATGGCAAAATGTAACATGTATGTAAGCAACATTTTAGCCAACCTTACAAAATATTACCATTCTCTTTTATGTTTGGCTCAGCAAAATTAAATAATTTGCCCACGTCAGTCCAGGAGCTGGAATTAATAATGGGCTTTTTTTTTTTTTTTACTTAGTTCTTTGGGTGTACTGGTGCAGTCTCTAAGTCCTCTCCGTAAATTACAATCGAACAACAGATTTTCGGTAGTAGTGGAACAAAGGTTTTAGTTTTCCAAATGTATTTTTACGTGCATTTAAGAAACAATGCGCATTAGTACCAAACTCACTACTTCTTTAATTTTTTTTATTGTGAAAATACTGTACAGAGGAGTTACAATTACATGGGCAAGATAATGAGTACATTTCTTATCAAGCCTTGTAGCCTCCTCCTTAGTTTCCCCTTCCCATCCCTTCCCATCCTCCCCCCACCCCTCACCCAATCCTCCCCGCTACCCCTCCCCCCTCCCGCACCAAAGTTGTAAAGTTCATTTTTCGACATAACGAGTTGTACTTCTAAGATACTGTGGCTTAGCACAAAAACATGACTACAGCCACCTTCTCAGTATCGTTTTGTGAAGTTCGATTCTGAAAATTCTTCAGCGCATAACTGGCCCGAATTTAGCAATGAACAAATAGGAGCTACCCTGACAAGAGACGGAAAGAGAAGCCCAAGCGGCCGGCAGCTCAGCAGCGCCCCCACCATCCCGGAATCCGCCAACTGGCGACAGCAGCGGCTAGAAAAAAGGAATAGGCCACGCCCCCGACGGGGGCCCCGGCCGCTAGCCAAGCGCATGCGCAATACTGCAGGCCACGGCCCCGCCCCAAGAGCACGCATGCGTAACACGGATAGCTGCGTGACTGGTAGCGGCCTTCCTCCTGACCCTGCGCTTAGCAAAGCCTCCCGGCCCGCGGACCCAAACCAAGGCCGGTACCTTTTCAGGCCCATACAGGTCGTCACCGTATTCGTTGAGCAGACTGTATGCCTCCTCCACGCACTTGCGCTCGTTCATGTTGCAGGTGATAAGAATGCCTTGCAACCCCGGCTCCAGCTGCCGCGAACCGCCGACGTCGCAACGCCGAGCCCGCTTGGCTTGCAAGTACTGAGCTTTGCTTTTGCGCTTCCCGCTCACGGCCTGAGGAGGCGGCTGCGGGACTGACGCCGCCATGATTTTTTCCACGGGGTCCTCAGCTACCCCGACGAGGGCTGGTGACGTCAGAAGTGTGCGACGGGCGGCCCTAACCCGCCCCGCCCCCCTCCGCCAGACACTGGGTCCTAAAGCCCGCCCGCGACCAATGAAGGAAGGAGCAGCCCCCACCTCTCGCGAGGTTTCCTGCTTGCACTCGTGGCCGGTGAAACCAACACGAATATTGGAACAAGGCCTAAACTTTGCTTTGAAGGAACCTGTCCGTTTACTCCTTTGTATTCAGTATTTATTTACCTGATGTGCTCTGCACAGTACATAGACTGGGACCGTTAGCAGAGCAAGGTGCCATTCATCGCCCTTCCAGTGGACCAAGGAGTCATTGGGTCCTTCTAAACCACCCTTTAAAAAAAAAAATTCTATTAAAACGTGTGAGTTCTGTGGGATTCCCTCTTGTATTCATGTGACAGGACTAAAGATATAGAAAGAAAAACAGCACATATAAGATGTGAGGAATTCGGTGATGGTGAAAACCCAATCAGAGTAAGACATGTTAAAATCCAAGGAAGTCAGTACTTAAAAGACAGGGAAGGTGAATAGAGGCCCTAGGCCAGTCCGGGCAAAGGAAGGGAGACTTCATTTCAAAAACAAGCTAAAAAGTTGGGAGAGTTGAAGGTATGGCCATGGCTCAAGTGGTAGAACAGGAGGCTCTGGATTCAATCCTCAGAGCTCAGGAGGCAGGGAGATAAAGAGCCTTGGCCAAAATCTAGAAAACTGGCTGAACACTTTTTGTGGTACTGGAGACTGAATGCAGGGTTTTGTGCTGGCTAGGTCAGCCCTCTACCACTTGAATCACTTCCTCAAACACAACCGTTTAACATTATGAGAACATTAAACATTTTACGATTGTAAAATATGCTTATATTAGTAGCTTTACTTTTGTTTGACAACAGTGAAATAAGTGACAGTGACATTTTGGGGCATTTCTATTGTTCCGAAGGCCTTGGTTTGAATAGAAAAATCACACTTTGTTTCTGACAAAAGTTGGTGATGGTCATACGGCTTGACCTCAGGATCTGAGTGCTGTCCCTGAGCTCTTTTGCTCAAGACTGGCCCTCTACCTTGAGCTATAGCTCCTTTTCCAAGTTTCTGGTGGTTATTAGAGAGAAGAGTCTCATGGACTTTCCTGTCCAGGCTGACTTTGAACTGCAATTCTCAGATCTCAGCCTCCTGAATTGCTAGGATTATAGGGGTGTGCCAGCCTGTTCTGGTTTTTATTATTTATTTCTACCTGTTAATTTGGGAGTTAGCTTGGTTTTTTGAGATTTAACTGCTACATATAACATAAAATATTAAGAGGAGGGAAAGCAGCCTGATACTGAAATGCGTTTTTCATTATGTCTGTGAAATACATTTTCTTTTGGATTTTTTTTGGCCTATCACTATAGTTAGCATTCCTGATAAAAAAGTACTAATGTGCTATTACACAAGCCAAAAAGAACAAAGGAAAATGCTAAATCCTGGTTAGTTCCCTTCTGGCCAGCTATGGAAGGGATTTTATAAAGTTAGATGCTTGGGGAAGAGTTTTCCAAAGATGTCTTTTTATTTACTCCTTAGAACTCAACAGCAAAATAACCAGATTCTATCACCAGCAAAGGAAGACTGAGGAAAAGCATAAACCATATTTATGTATAGGTAGTTTACCTATTATTTAAATTGGGGTTCATATTTATTGTAACCTACGAATGAACCTCCTAGTTTTTTTGGTGGGAGGGAATCTTTCAGTGAGTATCTGAATGGGATACAGGCTCCCACTTTGTACTTTGGAAGGTTCAAATATCATTTCCTACTTGTTCTCAATCTGTTGTGGGCACATCAACTCAGCTTCAACAACTTGGTGCCTTGATCTGATTGTGAGAACTCAGGAAAATGTATAAAGAAGGTGCACCCATCTGGTGTTCTTCCTACTAGTGGTCATAGCTTCCTACCAGTGGACACAGGTAGCAGCAGCATTCCAGCAGGGGTAGCAGAAGCACATTCTTTAGATCATCCATGCTGGTTCCAGCCTCCCCTACCCCTCCTTATTGATACCTGCTCCTCCAGCTTCCCCTATAATCCCACATTTACCTAAAAGGCTCCTAGTAAATTCCATTTCCACTCAAATTTGCCAGAATAAGTTTCTATTTGACTGACAGCCATAAATGTTGGCAGGTGTTGAGTATTTCATACTATTTTCTTTCTTTTCTTTCTTTTTTTGTCAGTTCTGGGGCTTGACCTCTGGGCATGAACGCTGTCACTCAGCTCTTCAGCTCAAGGCTAGCACTTTACTACTTGATCCACAGCACCACTTCTGGTTTTCTGGTAGTTTATTGGAGATTAGAGTTTCACAGCTTTTCCTGCCTGGGCTGCTTTTGAACCATGATTTTTAGATCTCAGCCTCCTGAGTAGCTAGAATTAACAGGCGTGAGCCACTGGTGTCCAGCTTATACTGCTTTCTTAGTTGTCATTTTCTTGAATTGCCAGTCCTCAGGGTTGAACTCAGTACCTAGTTGCTGTTCCTGAGCTGCTTTAGCTCAAGGCTAGTGCTCTACCACTTAAGCCATAGCTCCATTTCCCTCTTGGTAGTCATTTTACCCAGAGCCTCAGCATATGTTAACTTTATTAACATTATAACTATACTGTATTAACTTTTTGATATCATTAGAAAAATGCTACTTTTACAGAATATTTCAGAGGACTGAGTACTTGCCATACATACCCCAATTATTCTTCAGAGTTGAACCAGATTTAACTCCCTACAAAATCTTAAAACAGGTAATCTGATAGAGTCAAAATGAACTCATAGCCAATACCCTCTGATTCTCATTCCTGATCTACATGACTCTCAAAAATGTTATTGTTATTCTATTTTATACTTTCACTTACATTTTCAGTACAGTACTTTTCAGAATTTCATTGGTTGAAATCAGACAGCTCAGACTTCTGCAAGTGTTCGAATGCTTGTGAAGAAAAGTCTGTTACATTGGAATTTCTGTGGATTAAGCACAGAAAGCGGATTTAAGCTCTTATTTTTTTCATCCTCAGTATCTAATATAGTGCCTTGTGCATGGTAGTTACATAGAAATGTTTTAACTGTATTTAATAGTAGAAATGTTCACTAGAAGCCAGGCATGGGTGGCTCACACCTATAATCCTAGCTACTCAGTAGGCTGAGATCTGAGGATCAAGGTACAAAGGCAGCCCGGGCAGAAAAAGCTGTGAAACTCCTTTTTTTTTGGCCGGGTCGTGGGGTCTGAACTGTGGGCCTGGGCACTGTCCCTCAGCTCTTCAGCTCAAAGCTAGCGCTATGCCACTTGAGCCACAGCGCCACTTCCGGCTTTTTTTTTTTCTGCTTATGTGGTGCTGAGGAATCAAACTCAGGGCCTCATGCATGCAAGGCAAGCGCTCTACCACTGAGCCACCTTCCCAGCCCAGCCATGAAACTCTTATCTCTAATTAATCACCAGAAAACTGGAAGTGGCACTGTGGCACAAATGGTAGAGTGCTAGCCTTGAGCTGAAGAGCTCAGGGACAGTGCCCAGACCCAAAGTTCAAACCCCATAACTGACAAAAAAAAAAAGTTCACTAGAGCGTAAAAAGGTTAAAATCCATGCTAGGAAGGGGAAAATAGGTCCAAAGCTTGATTCCATTGAACCAAGTCAAAGGAATTAGAAAATGGCACTGATCTCTCCTCAAATCTGTCTCCAGTCAACTGGCTGGATTTCAGTTGTCCATATAGAGCCCCTGTCTTTATGATAGAAGAGGTTAGCCTGCAGGTGATAAGATACGGAGTTTGAATCCCAAATATATTTGAATACTGTATGCTAGAGTTAAAAATCAGGAATTAAAGTTGAAAATCAGCCCTTATTTTACTACACTTAATTGTTGTTGACTGGGCAAGATATAGCCCAATTCGCTGACTAACCACTTAGTCTAGATTCTAGAACTATATTAATTGCCCTGTCATCCTGTGACAACTACCAATGATATTTTTATTCAATCCCCTAAAGCAGGCTTTTAGTTCTGCTCTAAATAATTTAGCCATTGTTTATTCTTTTCATTATTATTGTTGTGGTGGTGATATTTTATTATCTTTAACAATAATAACTATGCACAAGTTGTACAAAGATGTTACTATTCAACATGTCAGTTTATGAGTACAATGCATCAGCTCTTTCATCATTCTCTCCCATTCATTCCAAACTTTGTTTATTCTTGATTATTTTTTATAACTAAGAAAGATTTTGGGGGGCAATGCTGTACCAAAGTTATGTAAAGTTCCTACTTACATGAACTTTCAACTCCTTAGATTATCAGTCAGAGACAAAGACCTAGTGTTTTATCATTGGGCACAAAGGTAGAACTCTATGATGTGGCTTATAAATCTCTTCTGGCTCCTATATATGTTTTATTTTGTGTGGGTGTGTGTGGGTGTGTGTGAGTGTGTGGGTGTGCATGTGCCTGTCCTGGGGCTGCTTGGACATAGTCCCTGAGGTGTTTTTTATTTTTTTGGTGGGGAGGGGGGACAGGCGGGGAGGAAAGTTGTTGAATTGTTTTTTCTTCTCAAGTCTAGAGCTCTGTCACTTGAGCCACAGTTCCACTTCTGTTTTTCTTTTTTTTGTTGTTGTTTTTTTGTTTTGGAAATAAGAGTCTCACAGACTTTCCTACCTGGAACCACAATCCTCAGATCTTAGCACCTGAGTAGCTAAGATTATGGGCATGAAACCCTAAGGTCCTGCTGTTTTTTTTTGTTTTCTTTTGTTTTGTTTTGTTTTGTCAGCCATGGGGCTTGAACTCTGGGCCTGGGCGCTGTCCCTCAGCTCTTCAGCTCAAGGCTAGCACTCTACCACTTGAGCCACAGCTCAAGTTTTCTGTTGGGTAATTGGAGGTAAGAGTCTCATGGACTTTCCTGCCTGGAATGGCTTTGAACCATGATCTCAACCTTCTGAGTAGCTAGGATTACAAGCGTGAGCCACTGACATCTAGAATGTTGATTTTTTTTTCCAGTCCTGGGGCCTAAACGCTGGGCCTGGGCACTATCCCTCAGCTCTTATCCCTCAGTTCTTCAGCTCAAGGCTAACACTCTATCATTTGAGCCACAGTGCCACTTCCAGCCTCTTCTGCTTATGTGGTGCTGAGGAATCCAACTCAGGGCCTCATGCATGTAAGCCCAGCAGTCTACCACTGAGCAACTTTCCTAGCCCCAGCATGTTGAT